CCTAACACTGAGTGAAGCAAAGAGTGAAAATAATATAGTGAAAAAATAATGGATTCCACCCCTTTATTTTTTATATATAATTTATTATAATAAAATTTTTATTCTATTTCTTATTTATTTTTATTCATCTATTTATTTTGTATTTTTTTCTCTATTTGTTACCTATTTATTTTCTTTTTACGCAAGATAAGAGAAACGAGCCCAGCGCTTGGTAGAAAAAAAAATCATTTATATATTTTATATTTTCTTGCTGTCATACAAACATAGCATTAAAAAAAAAAAAAAAAAAAGTTCGAACCTTTCTATTGTGCGATATAACGTGCGTTGTGGCACCTTAAAATCTTCAAACTTTCTCAGCATAATAAAAGAAGGACACGAGGAAGAGTTGTGTACATAGAGAGAGAGAGAGAGAGAGAGGGTAAAAGGGTATTAGATCCCTGAGGCAGATCAAAACGAAGTCCCCGTTGATGGGGTTGTTTTCGTGAACAAAATAAGAACCCCATTGCAGTAAAAGGGGATTCCTTGGTTCAGATTTGCGTGCATTGCCGAATCAGATACCCCATTATAAGTATCGTGTGTATCTTTTGTTGTTGTTCTCATCGTTTTTGATTTGTGTTTTTGTTGTTGGCATGGAGGGTGAGAAGAAGAAGTACATGACCTCTGAGGAGCTGAAGGGTCACAACAAGGAGGGAGATTTATGGATCTCAATCCAAGGTAAGGTGTACAATGTGTCAGATTGGATTAAGGAGCACCCTGGTGGTGCTGTTCCAATTTTGAACCTTGCTGGCCAGGATGTCACAGATGCATTCATAGCATACCATCCTGGCACAGCATGGTCACACCTTGACAAGTTCTTCACTGGGTATCACCTCAGTGATTTCGAGGTCTCTGATGTGTCCAGGGACTATAGGAAGCTTGCATCTGAGTTTTCAAAAATGGGTCTTTTTGACACCAAGGGCCATGTCACATGCCTAACCCTAGCATCTGTTGCTGCCATGTTCCTTATTGTGCTCTATGGTGTCTTGTGGTGCACCAGTGTGTGGGCTCATTTGGGCTCAGGCATGCTGCTGGGCCTGCTCTGGATGCAGAGTGCCTATGTCGGCCATGACTCGGGCCACTATGTGGTTATGACAAACAATGGCTTCAACAAAGTTGCACAGATCCTCTCAGGGAACTGTTTGACTGGGATAAGCATTGCTTGGTGGAAGTGGACTCACAATGCTCACCACATTGCCTGCAACAGCCTTGACCATGACCCTGATCTGCAGCACATGCCGGTTTTCGCTGTGTCCTCGCGCTTCTTCAAATCGATTACCTCCCATTTCTATGGCAGGAAATTGGAGTTTGATTGCATTGCCAGGTTTCTGATCTGTTACCAGCACTTCACATTTTACCCGGTTATGTGTGTTGCCAGGGTCAACTTGTATTTGCAGACAATTCTGCTGTTGTTTTCTAAACGTAGAGTGCATGATAGAGCCTTGAACATAATGGGGATCCTTGTGTTTTGGACTTGGTTCCCTCTTTTGGTGTCTTCCCTTCCCAATTGGCCTGAGAGGGTTATGTTTGTGCTGGCTAGCTTCACTGTTTGTTCCATTCAGCATATTCAGTTCTGCTTGAATCACTTTGCTGCAAATGTGTATGTTGGTGCACCAAGTGGTAATGATTGGTTTGAGAAGCAGACTAGTGGGACATTGGATATCTCTTGCTCCTCATGGATGGATTGGTTCTTTGGTGGCTTGCAGTTTCAGCTTGAGCATCATTTGTTTCCAAGGCTACCTAGGTGCCAATTGAGGAAGATTTCACCTTTGGTTAGTGACCTTTGCAAGAAGCATAATTTGCCTTATAGGAGCTTGTCATTTTGGGAGGCCAATCAGTGGACAATTAGGACCCTCAGGACTGCTGCCCTTCAGGCAAGGGACTTGACCAATCCTGTCCCCAAGAATTTGTTGTGGGAAGCTGTTAATACCCATGGCTGAGGCATTTTGAGAGTTTTTAGAGTTTAGGATATTGGCAAGGTCTTTTTTTTTTTTTTTCTTTCCTTTTTTGGTTCTCTTGGAAAATAGAAAAAAAAAAGTCTTATTGTGATTTTGTTAGCCCCAACTTTTCCAGATTGGGCTTTGAATTTAGCTTTTTGTTAGATGTGGTGTAGAAATGGATGATCCAGATGTTACTACAGTTCATGTGCTTTGCATCAATACAAAATTCATATCCTGTATGCCTTTTTGCCTTTCCACTTCCTTTTTCCTTACAATTTGGCATAGGTTGTTAGTGTCTGGAAGTTATGCCATGGTTGATCTTAATAAAACACAGAAGATTCCATCCAGTTGTTATGTATTTCTATTTTTCTATTCATCAGTGGTTGAGCAGAATATTTCTTCTTTCATTCTGGTTTTGTTGACAGAGAGGATGAAATTATGACAATGTGGCATATTGATTTTCAACCCTTGTTTGTTTGTGCCTGAAAAATAAAAAGAAATCAAGGGATTCTTTCATGATGTTCAGGACCAGCCTAACACTGAGTGAAGCCTAAAGTAAAATTTGAGAAAGAATTTTATACTTTAAATGAGAAAGCTATATGTTGGACTTTTTTTTATCAACATATCTGGCCTTTTTTGTTTTATTAAATTAATAGCAAATAATTTTTGTTGATGGGCCTAAACTTTAATTGCCTTATCTTTTGGCCGACCATGATAATGTCATTGTTATGACTCAACCCTTATATTCCAAGTGAAGGCTTATGAGTCAGCAATTTGTTGGTAGTGAGGCTATCAGAATGAATATGGCTTTTGCTAAAAGCATGGGTCATGTTGGAAGAAATTATTCTTGTGGTTCCAGCATGGTTGAGATTTGAAAACGTTGATTCTCAACGACAGCTAGGTAAATTTCATAGGAAGCAGTATTTGATAAGGGGAAATAGTGGTGATTGAGAAAAAAAGCTGGAATGGATCAATTAATGTATCTGAGTCCATCATAATGAATTTGAATTGGCTTCAGCCATAGATATTAATCTGGCATTAACAATTGTAAAGCTATAATGGATTAATTAACATGCCATATGATGCCATCAGAATGAATTTGAATCTGGTTTTGTGATAGAAGTTATTGGAAATGGAAACAGATCCTCTGCAGTTAAGAATTTATCTGGATTGATTGCAGTTCTAATCCAACAGTTGAAATTTCTTAAGCTTGTATTTTTTTAATTATTTTTTCATGAAATAAATATTGATTCAAAGGTTAATATCTCTACACTTGTATAGCAACTGTATAGGATCGTGATTGGATACTAATCTTGTGGTGTAAGCAAAGAGAAAATAACGGTGATTCACAGCAAGCTAGAATAATAATTGATGTTCCATTTTTTCTGACTATTAATTACAATCACCTTTGTTTGCTTAAAAGTAAAAGGTAGGAATGTTATTATATAGAATGAAATGAGGTCAACATCAAACAATAAATTCACTTTAAACTTGTAAATTTCTGCACTGAGATAGCAAGCTCTGACTTAATGTCCTTTGTGATTTTTAAATGTAAATTTTATCTTGAAAAATAGAAATTTCTAGTTACTAAATGATCATTCAGATGTTTTAAATTTTAAAAATTAAGTTGTTCTTTAAAGTGATTTTCTAAAAAAGAATAAATCATTTTCATGTTAATCCATTTTTTCTTTTTCGGGGGCGACATGTCAAGGTTACATGTAACAAATTTCCCCTTTTCAAACTAAAGTGCCATGAAACTTGGAAGAACTATGCTATACATGCCTTTTTGAGATGGGATTACCACTTTAGATTATTAACTATATATGCGTAGGAGGACCAAGGTTACATTAGTTATAATACGAATAATATTAAATTTTCTAATAATATTTTTAATATTTAAAAAAAAAACTAAATAAAAACTCATGCTCAATATTTTTAAAAGCTTATATACATGTCATTATTCTTTATATGTTAATTACATTGCCTAAAAGTTAAATGTTTAGTATTTTTACTAAAATGGTTGGTCTTTATTAAAAAAAACACGTAAGTTAATCGGTAAAAAGATGTTTAAGCTTAATTAGTGATTTTGAGTTTCAATTTTAGCAATTCTATTAAAATATTTGAAGTGAGAGTTTTATTATTCATAATTATTATATATTATTCAAATAGGATTATCTTTGATAGAAGATATATATGATCTTTATTAAAAAAAATGGTCAATTTTTACTAAAACCGCTACTTAGCTATTTTTTTTTAGTACAAAATATCAAATGTTGTTAACTATTTAAAAAATAATGCTTTAATTTTTAAATATAACAAATAATTTTATTTTTTTTTATTAAACTGGTTTATTTACATTCATTGGTAGAGATGATAATTGAACAAAATTCAACAAATATCTATTAATGTTACTAAAATTAGTAGTTATTAATCATCAAATGAGTTAGTTGTAAAAAATCAATGTTTAAATATTTTTAATCTCTCAAATTTAAAATTAATATTTTTAGTCAATATAATTTTTACAAATTTTATTTTATTCTCTCAAGTCACTGATAATATATAGGAAAATGACAGATTGAGACAATTATGCACCATAAGTTGGATTTAATGTAATATTTTCATTAAAAAAACCCAAATAAGTAGATTTTACATAACAATATTTGACAGATTCTCTAACAAAATTCGAATAAAAATTAAAAATAAATTTATCTTAAATTTAAAAAATTAAAAATATATTTAAGTCAAAACTCAATAAAAATATTTTTGACAAATTTTTTCCCTAGAATATTTAATATAATTGTGTATTTAAAATATGAACTCAAAATTATTAATTAAGTTATAACAACCTCATATTTTGAATTCAAAATTATTAATTAAATTATAACAACCTCATAACAGATAATCTATAGGAGTACAATTAAATAAATTTAGTTTTTTTTTATTGAATCACTAATAAGTCAACTTTTATATGTAAATATAACCCTGAGAAATGTTTCCTCCTAAAAAGTCTCAAATTGGGAGACATTTCTGCCAACTATTCTTTTTCTTCTCAATAATAGGAATATTAATAACAATATTTTAAAATTAATTACAACTGATTATTGAATAAAATATAGATATAATTAATTATATGTTAATAGGTACATGTATCTTAATAGTAATATTAAAAATAATGTAATAAATATAAAAATACTAATAAAGAAATATATCTTAATTATAATTTTATCTTATTATATAAAGGTTAATATTTGAAGAAGTTTTCCCTCCTTAAGAGCCTGCCAGAATTGGGAGACATTTTTCTTAACTATTTTTTTCTCAATACTAGGAATATCATATTATATATTTTATTTTATTATATAAAGTTGTTAACATTTCAATAAAAATTTACCTCCTAAAAACTAAAAGTCTATCCAAATTAAGGAACATTACTGACAACTATTTTTTCCTCGATAATAGGGATATTAATAATGAAAATTTAAAATTAATTACAACTAATTGTTGGTTGAAATTATACATATGATTAATTGTATATTAACAGGTACATGTATCTTAATAGTAATATAAAATAATTAATAAATATAAAAATACTAATAAATAAGTATATCTGAATTATAATTTTATTGTATAAAATTGTTAATATTTAGAGAAAATTTTTCTCCTAAAAAGTCTACCAAAATTGGGAGACATTTATGTCAACTTTTTTTTTTTTTATCTCAATAATAAAGATATCTTATTATATAAAGTTATTAATATTTAAAGAAATTTTTCCTCTTGTCCAAATCGGGAGACATTTCTATCAAATATTTTTTTTTCCTCAACAATAAGGATATTAATAATAAAATTTTAAATTAATTACAACTGATTGTTAATTAATATACATATGATTAATTATATGTTAATAGGTATATGTATCTTAATAGTAATATAAAATAATGTAGTAAATATAAAAATACTAATAAATAAAACATATCTTAATTATAACTAATTGTTAGATGTGAATCTTATATAATAAGGTTGTCAATAATATTTAGAAAATTTTTTCCAAAGAAAAAGGTCTGGCCAATTTAAAAGACATTATAGCTAGCTATTTAATTACGTTTTAATTTATTTTTCATTTCTTATTTAAACAGGTTTTAATATTGTAGCAGGATTAATTAACTTTTTATAATTAAAAATTTTAAGTGAAAATTGAATATATACAATTGTTGTAAGTGGTTCGTAACAATATTATACATTAATATATGCTTTAGTTATATTTTATTTTATTGCCATTTCTTATTATTTTTAAAGAATATTTTGTTCTACACATCATATGGGTACATGTACTAATTTACTAAAACAACCAACAATAAAACCTGAAATAATCTATTTAGTGCATGCAACAAATTAATTCATAAGTTAATGATTTAATTATATATTTTTACTCTTTAAGTATTGTAATTGTAAAATTTTAACTTTATTGATTATAATTTTTTGAAATAGGTTTTATGGGTATCTAATTGTACAATTTTGGTCATTCAGTTAATCTTCTATAAATATTAAATAGATTCTATTAATAGATAAAAGTGTCATAATTACTTGATCAAAGCTTAAAAAGGTGATTAGAAAAAGAATTAGACCAATATGATTTGGTCCAACAAGTTTGACTAGCCCAACAATTACAAATTTCTAGCTTGAAACCTATTGAGTCTATTAGACTTGATACTTTTATTTTACTTTCCTTGTAAAGTTTACATAAAATTAAAAATAAAATAAAATGAGCCAATTTGACTTGATCTAATAAGTCAATGGGTTAGGCCGATCACAAAATAAGTAAGACTCATGATATATATACCTCCTATAAGCACACTTCTTTTTTTTTTAGAAAAAAATTCCTAAAATATCTTTTTATTTTTTATTTTTATACCCTAACATTCAATTTAAGATTTTCTTTTTCTTTTCCACGCATCTTTTCTCCTCTTTTCATTTTTCACACGCATTCCCTTACCTTTTGGCCTTTCATCTACTTGTCACTTACTTCCTCCACTCTCCACCTATTTCAATATGTAATTTTAATTCTTTTGATTTTACATTACTCTCTTCCTTCCTTCTTTTTTAGTTTTCACACTATTACCATCTCTCTCTCCTCTTTTAGCTTTTCACTCACTCAAGACATAGAACTAGTTTTTGACAGTGTTATAAGCATGTGTGGCTTCTTTGACAATGTTGAAGGTGCTGAGTCAAATATATGTTTTTTCTTCAAGTACTTCTCCCATTTACACATCTAAAAAACACAATATCAAATAATTTTAGTATTCCAAAAAGTATTTTCGACAATAATAGAATTAGTGTTCTCAAAAGTATTTCA